ATAATAATAATAATGATAATAATAATAATAATAATAATAATAATAATAATAATAATAATACAGTCAGGTTTCGAAATGGCAAGGTGATCAGTTTTTTTTTTCTCGATTTACACAGAAGTTCAAATTATCGATAATTATCGAGAGAAAGAAACTTTTTCAAGGGGATGGAATTATTTTATATAATATTTTGCGATTTATCACGAGACTTCACTGTAATTTATGATTGCTTTGATTGGAATTTAGTGTATAATTTTCATTTCTCGTTACAATTTTTAAATGAAAATAATAATATTGTCAGCCTAGTTACCCTTGGATTTGATACCAGCTGTCAAAGCAAACGCAAACGCTGAGCTGATTCTAGAGAGAGCTCTGCATCAGATTTTAAAAGATATTTCGAGATATGTGCGATTTGCGGACTGGCAATCAGAAGCCGAAGCAGGCTGAGCCGTCCGCTGTGACGGTCGTTCTGCCGAAGAATGGGGTTGCTCAGCCGGCGGTGATGCCGCCGCCGGGGAGGCCTGGCCGGCGGACCAACGTGCTGGAGGGCCTGAAGGCGGTGCTGAGGACTCTGTGGAGTAGCCGCTGGGCGACTTACTTCAAAAAACCGGTGAACGCGGCTAAGCTCGGCATTCCGGAATACTACGATGTGATCAAATATCCCATGGACCTGAACACCATACGCCTGCGCCTGAACAACAATTACTACTGGCGGGCGAACGAGGCGCTGGAAGATTTCGAGCTGATGTTCGCCAACTGCGATCGGTTCTATGCGCATGGATCACAGGTGCGCGCTGCCGGCAAGCAACTGTGCAGCATCTTCAAGACTTTTCTCTCCATGATTGACCTGAGCAACGAGACGGAGCTGAAGTCCAAACCGTTGCTTAAGGCTCGCAAGACACGGCCACTGCAGCCAGAGAGTGCGCACCCAAGTTCAAGCAAGTTACCTAGACTGGGCAGTGACGAGGCCCATGACGAGGCCCATGACGAGGCCCATGACGAGGCCCATGACGATAGCGACGATAGCGAGTCTGAGTCTGACGTTGACGATAGGCCGTACTGTAAGGCGATTGAGATAGAGTCGGCCACGAAAATACTGATCGACTGGCAGATGTATCTTGTGGAGAAGAACCACTCGTTGCGGCTGCTCGACTGTCTGACCAAGCGCAAGCGGGCCCTCATCAACTGGCCCTTCCGCTGCAGCGATCTGTGGCGCGAATATGGCCAGAATCAACACTACAACCACGAGGATAACCTGAGCTGGGGTACATTGCGTTACATGCTGAAGAACAACCAGATCGAGAGTTTTGAGCATTTCATCGAGAAGCTGAGGACGATGTTCCAGAATGCCTTGACCTGTTTTCCGTTGGATGCAATGCTGATCGAGGCGACGACTGCGATAAATGAAGTTCTTGAATCACGTTTGGGTGCATTCCGCCGCTCTTTGGTCGAGGCGAAGAAGCGAATTCGGTATTCGGCGAGCAAAAAGCTTCGAGATTATAGATTAATTATCTCACAGCATGAGAGTTATTTCAGTTCGGAAGATAGATTATACCGATACCGTTAACTTATACTGTTTGATGATAA